TACACCACTGAACCGGCCCCAGAATTTGTTTTTATGTATCATATAAAGTAGGAATTTACCTTTTTTTTCTTTCAAATGAATAGTCAATTATCCCAATATTCTTTTCCCACTGATTTGAAATGACTTCTTCCTGCTTTTTAAAATTCCCATGCTTACCGGCATCTGCTTCTGGACGTTCAGATTTTCTCCACTGATTTAATGAGGAGTCAGAGAAGGCTTTCTCAGGAAGGAGGTGAGATGTGAGAGTGATGTCTTAATTGGGCCAAGCATGTATGAGGTAGGGGGCTTGAAGTGGGGAGAGAGGAGAGCTTTCCAGGCAGAGGAGGCATGTGCACAGGTCCTGAGGCACCTGTAAGACATGAAATAAGGTGAGTCTGTCAGACGGGAAGTCCTGTAAAACAAGGGGCTCCTGTTCTCCCACAGGATAAATATCAAGTTCTTGAACCTTCTGGCCCTGCATTCCTCTCAAGCCCTGTCTCCACTCAAGCCCTTCTTGGTTATACATGGTCTGTCAGCTGAGCATCATACACTGGCCTCCCTCTTTTGGTCAGATGCTTCCCCCTCCCCCATCCCCCTCTGGCCTTAAAAGTCCTTTCCTTTTACTGCCATGCCTGTTCCTGCCTGCACCACCCCAGCCCACCCTTGCTTAGTACTGCTCGCCTCTCTAAGAAGCCTGTCCTCGCTGTTCCCCCCTCCACCCCACTGGCCCCTGCCAGTGCATTTGCCACGTGATCCCACGGTTGTTTGTTGGAGTCTGTGTCCCTCCTTGGGCTGGATGGTTTTTGCAGTCAGGGATCATGTCTTACTCATCCTTGTATTCACATAGTCCAGCGTGGAGCCTGGTGTATAGACAATTTATTCAATAATATTTGTTGAGTGAAAGCGTGAACAGGATAAAAAAAGATCACTGCCCTTCTAAAAATGTCAGCTTTGTTGTGGAGCATAGCACACATGCTGCAGTACAGCTAAGAAATAACATCTGTTAGCTTTTCTCTTTGCAAAGGAGAGACTGTCACCATAACACTTCCATTCACACGTGGGAGATGCTCACGTGTGATTCCTGCGCCTCAAGTTTCTTGGGGAAGACTGTGACAGATTCCTGGGCAACTCCAGTAGAGATGCAGAGCCCCTTCTCCTACTGCATGTATCAGTATTTTACCCCGAAGCCTTCAGGGGTGTGTCACCTTACAGGACCAGAAAGGGAAGAGAAGACATGGGGCAGGGCGTTCCAAGGGCAGAGCTACAGTCTGAGCCAGGACTGGACGTGAATAAGTGAAAGAGCATCAGGAGTGTTAGGAAAATATTTCACACATACTCTTTCATGTTATATTCAGAAAGTAATGGTTAAACATCTGCCTCTTTTATTTCCTCCAAAATCATTGCGTGTAGAACGGACTTGGCATCAGCTGCTGACATTTTAGCTGTTTATTTGTGCCAAAATGATGCAGCTTAATGAAAATTCAACACACAAACCTTTGACGTTCCCACTCAGTTACAGTTTAAAATACACGGGAATAGCACCACTTATACCACTTTGCGTATATGGCGTGATGGTTTCCTGTGACAGTCATGGTGGGTGTTTTCACTTCTTCACCTTTCTGACAGCTGAAGTCAGGACCCTACCAGAATGCATCTCAGGCAAGGTATTTATAGGCTGAGGTGAAGGGCACAGAAAATGTGCTCAAGATGATCCCGGCTGGGCAGGTATCATATGGAGATTCCTCATGAGCCTAGGCCCACAGCTGATGTAGGAGGACCCCCAAAGTGGAATTTGTGCCATATTCATAGTTTTCAGGGCTGCATATGGTGGTAGAAAATAAAGAAGTCTTGATTTTTCCCTAATCAAAAGTCAAGCCGAGGCTGAGAGGAAATGTGTAGAGTCTTAGTTCCTGGAAAGGAATGAAGGTGTCAGCCCTTACCAAAGAAGCGATACAGACGTACTTCACCTTTGAGGTCTGAATCTTGGCTCTTCTGACATTGTAGTCCTTGGGTGGCTGTGTGTGTGTGTGTGTGTTGGCTTCCAAAGACTTGGTTTGAGATCTGGTAATAAAATGTTTATTCTAGGTCACCTATTCATTTCACCATATCAAATCTGAGAGGAAGCCTAAGTGGTATTAATATTACATAAATAAATATGATATTTAATTATATTTAATCCATAAATAAATATGATATTTGTTCCAAGAGGAATCTAGGAAAGGACTGAAAACTACAGAGATGTCTTGGTGTCCTTGTCATAGATTGGAAACAAGACATTGCTGGAAGAGAGAGAGGTGATCACAGTCACTTGTAGCTCAGATTATAGGTAATAACCCAACTGTTTTAGGATCATAATATATGGATTCATATTTGTCATGGTTTATAGTTAAGCAAATAGAGTCACTTCACAAATACATGGCTGGGCTTCAGAATTTAAGAACAATGAGATTAATTATTGGATATAATATATAAAAGATGTTTCTCTAAGGACCCACTGTTCTGGGCTAAGATAATAATTTATCTGCTGAACATCACACAAGTTTCCCCCAAATGAATCACAAGTGTCACCTAATAATGTTCCAAACAATGCCTCTTTTGACAATGGGACAAGAAACTTCTGAAGTGTCTTAAGTAGTTATCTGAATTGAATCACTTCGCTCCAGGATAGATAAATACATGTCAATAGACAATTAAAAGCATATCTGAAAATAAGTATGATGTTCAAGTTTACAAACATTTTTAAATAGCAGAGGAAAGTATGTATTTTCACATTTCATTTTTCAATAAGAATTAGAATACAGTTATCGCTAAAATTATTATTTAGGTGTGCGGAGAAAGCTGTTTATATAACCATCAGATGGCTGCCTTCTAATTTAATGTTATTGTCTGCTTTTCTTCTTCTACACCCCAGTTCAGACAACTCTATCCTTGTATTTACAGGTAATTCCTCCATAAAAGGAGTGGTGGGGGGTGAGGAGGTGGACATGTTGGTTCTAACTATTCCCCATACAAATAACCTTCTCACTCTTTTCCACCCTGTTGCCTGCTATATTTTCCAACAAAGGAAGGAAGATAAATATGAGAAACTACTACAAGCATACACTATAATTCTCTGGAACCCAATACCTTCTATATATAAGAAGCTTTCAATCAACTAGAGTTTTTTTTTCCTTTGCCTGCTGTAGTCTACTTTTATGAAACATGCAAATTTTAAGAAAATTAATTGACCATTTCCCTTGCCTCAGGTCATTGTATATTCAGATAAATCTGCAGCTGAAGTATTAAAATTCATGTTCAGGGAATGAAAGAGATAGAAGGCTTGCCCCTGTCCTGTCTGAATGAGAGAAAATTTCATAGACCAGGTGCTAGGTTGGTCTGTTCATATACATTCACAAGAGACTGAAAATTCACTAGATTTCCCAAACCAGTGTTTTGTAGTCTTAGGGAAAACACACTGGCTGAATTGTTAGAAAAGGGTTACCCAGGGACACCAGGAACCGCTCTTCACAGATGTTCTTTCAGAAGGCAGAGTAATATGACAGCATCTACAAGAGGCATCCTGCCAGATTCACCGGGGCTAGCAATTAGGAGGGACTGCCGGCCCCCAGAAGGCACCTCACTGTTCCGTCTAGCTTTTCCTTAAGAATGTTCCTTGGAGCAGAGAATGCTGGAATAAAGAAGGCCCTCTGTTACTTCATTCCACAGTCTCTTGAGATCCTGGTCACTTATGTGCTCTCAAGTTTAAAAAAAAAAAAAAAAAAAGGAACATGTTGCTTGTTGCTTTTGGGAAATATCAGACTTTTAATTAGAATTAAAAGTCACTGCCAGAAGGGGAAGAAACAAGTAAAAATACAATGCAATCATAGATACTTGAAATTACATGTTAAATAGCCCCGTCTCTCAGGAGAGGTTCCTCTAGTTGGCTTAGGGAACTAGAGTGTTTTTATGGAGAAATATCTGCCTGCTACATAGAACTCCCAAGAGGCCTGACCTGGACCCTCCTTTCTCTATAGGACAGACTAGGAAGGTAGTAGGATTTCAGAAAGGCTCAGACCCAAGACCTAGAAGCCAAACCTAGTATCAGGATTCCTCTGATCTGAGGGTACACAGGCAGACTAAGAACTAATCCCAACTAAAGAGTTTTGCCCAATTCGGAACCTTATTTCCAGGGCAAAGCTAGATCCTTTCCAGGCCAGAGGGGTAAAGAAGAATTGCAGTTACCGACATGCATTCTCCATCGTATGAGGCTTATTTTCAACTTAATGGATCTGTAATTTATTTGCAAGGCTAAAAGAAATTGATATTAATTCATATCCCGCCTCTGAATCTTCACATTGTTAGGTTGTAACTTTAGTATAGACAATTCATTGTAGATTGTCAAAATTAATGATATAAGTTATGTTTTAATTAACTGAGCTCATACAAGGATAACTTCAATCTCAAATATGAGAAACCCAGGTAAACAATTATAATTTAATTGATTTACTCCAGATTTTATATTGATCCTAAAATACTTTATATTCTGAGAAGCATTAAACTCCTCTGTGAACTTATATTCAGTGGTCATGCTCACCGGCAGGTTAGAAAATCAGATGCTACGGTTAAGGAATTCTCTAGTGAGAGCACAGCATTTTCCAGATGGTTTGTTTTGTATTTTTCACTAGGACGTGGAATTACACAGTATGGTTTGGTAGTTAAGAGTACAGCCCCTTAAGCTTAAGTTCATCTTTTAGCTCTACTGCTTCCAAACTGGTGACCTTGGGAAGATGGTTTAATCTACCTGTGCCTCAGTTTCTTCATCCTATAAAATGGGGCTAGTATTAGTACCTACTTCACAGAGTTGTTGTGAAGATTAAATGAAGTAATACATGTCATTGTCTAGCACATGGTAAGCACGTTGAGTAAATGTTCACTGTCCTTAGTATTATCATTAGTATTAGTAATAACGGTAGTAATAGTGATGTGCGAGTTTGTAGTCACTGCAATAGGAAGTTGGTTGAATTCTCTCCTCTCCCTTCTGACAGGAAAATGGCAGATGCATGACAGCGGCCTCCTGAACATCACCAAGGTGTCTTTTTCAGACCGAGGTAAATACACATGTGTTGCTTCTAACATCTATGGCACTGTGAACAACACGGTGACCCTGAGAGTCATCTTTACCTCTGGAGACATGGGCGTCTACTACATGGTCGTCTGCCTCGTGGCTTTCACCATCGTCATGATTCTCAACATCACCCGCCTGTGCATGATGAGCAGCCACCTGAAGAAGACCGAGAAAGCCATCAATGAGTTCTTTAGGACAGAAGGTGCAGAGAAGCTGCAAAAGGCATTCGAGATCGCCAAGCGGATCCCCATCATCACCTCAGCCAAAACTCTAGAGCTTGCCAAAGTCACCCAGTTCAAAACCATGGAGTTTGCCCGCTATATTGAAGAGCTCGCCAGAAGTGTGCCTCTGCCTCCTCTCATTATGAACTGCAGGACTATCATGGAGGAGATTATGGAAGTGGTTGGGCTGGAGGAGCAGGGGCAGAATTTTGTGCGGCACACTCCAGAAGGCCAGGAGGCCCCCGACGGGGATGAGGTTTACACGATCCCAAACTCTCTGAAGAGAAGTGACTCCCCCACCGCCGACTCGGACGCCTCCTCGCTGCACGAGCAGCCTCAGCAGATTGCCATCAAGGTGTCCGTTCACCCACAGTCCAAAAAACATCACATGGGTGACCAAGAGGGTGTACAGTTTGGAGTCAAAGATGAAGAGGAGACAGAACCATCAGCTGAACGTTCCCCAGAAACTGCGGAACCTTCTACAGATGTAACATCCACGGAGCTAACGTCAGAAGAGCCTACGCCTGTTGAGGCATCAGATAGAGTCCTGCCACCAGCTCACCTGGGAGCTACAGAGCCAGCAGTGGCACATGACAGAAACACCTGCATTATTTATGAAAGCCATGTCTAATATCAACTCCGAAAAGCTATGCATATCAAGAAAATCAGGGGCTGCTCCTTGTGGTACCGATGTAGTACGCACTTGCCGCTAAGCCTTACCAGGACTCTCATCCCTTAGGTAGGAGAGATGCCATGTCCAAAGGGGAAGCACTTGCGTGCAGTTGCTGTGACTGGAATTACCCCAGTAGAAAAGGATGCGGGAAACATCAGGGTGCAGAATTGATACTGCTGGACAGAAAGTGTCTGTCCATGTGATACGAATTTTAGAGGCTGTCCTCTGCCAAATACCTTAATTGGTGATGTCCTTTTGGCAATGAGTACACTACTGTAAGATATTCTGAGTTCAAGAGCCCTGTCCGATGCACACTGCATTGCTTTTCCTTTAAAAAATTATAGGTCTGCTACAATAGCAAATGCACGTACGTGGGTTTGTTGCACTTTCTTCTCATTTTTTATTCCTTTCACTGTTCCTTTATAATGGAGTACTTGTTGTTGTTTTAATACTAATTGTTCTTTCTGGCTTAGTCTTCTTTGCCACTTTGTCCTTATTTTCCCCTAGAACATTTACCTCAGAGGCTTTGGTGTCAGTCATCAGTACCAGGACTGATATCTACAAGTCATTTATAATGTTCCAAATAGTTACTAGGCTCATTACTTTTGCTATTCCCCAGGCCTATTTTCATACATTGCTTTTTTTTCTTTCCAGTGAAGCTGCTGTTGTGAAACTGAGAAAAACTTTGCCCAGGAATAGCACTTTAATAGGCAAATAAAACTGTGTTTACCTGTCCATTTCTGAGAGCATTTTGGTGAGCTTAGCTGAGGTTGGAGGGAGATTGTGAAAGGTTGAATATACCTGTTCTACCCATGAAAACTGCTGTTTTTACATTTAAGTACCATCACCCTTCAAACAAAGACTGAGTCTTTATCTGGGAAATTTATTGCTTCCAAAGACAGAGACGTTTGCTGAATCCCTCCTAGTTGTAGAATATTGGCTTCCCAGAAGGGCTTACAGGGACCATATGCCATCAGGTGACTCAAATACTTGATTTGGGGCAGCAAATGTAAGGATCTGTGAAGTCGTGTGACCAGATCCACTTTTGTGAACTGAGTAGCTGACTTGTTGGTTCTTAAAGGAGAGAGTGAAAGGTTTGAATGATGGCATAACTGTACCATCAAATTTGATGCCAAAAGTATTGAATTAGTTTGTAGTCTCACAAGAAAGCAGTTATATGTGAGGCAGAATGATTTTATGGAAAGAAAACAAAACTAGTCATCTGAAGGCCAACACCTTTCCTGACTGTGCCAATAACCAGCTGCTTGGTTTTGGGCAAGTCTGGGTCTCAGTTTCCTTATCTGGCAGAGGGGGCAGACCAGATGAGCTCTGAGTGCCATTTAAATGGCCTCACTCTCTCACAGATCCAAACCAATATTATCATCCTTGCTCTTTTTCGCAGTTATGTTAAAGATTTTCACTTTCATCTCTGGGTTCACCTAATATTTTTTATGCTCATTACTTACTCAAATAAAGAGGATCAGTTTCAAATAATCATAGCATTTTAAGCAAGTCGTGGATCTTCTCCCCTAAAACATCATTAGGACCACTTCTGCAGTATAGATTTAATTGTGGTGAGAATGAGTGGTGTTATTTCATTTTTACTTAGGAGCAGGGGAGACACTAACCTTAAAGTAATTATCAGGGTCATAGCCACATCAAGTGATGGGGTCATGACATTGTAGGTTACGTGGACCATGTTGGTCATGAGAGAGCAGACCCAGATGTTTAGTTCTCACTCTGTCACTATCTGGTTAAGCGACCTTGGACAACTCTCTTCCCCTCCCTACCGGGGGTGGGGGGGTGGGGTGGAGGGGTGATTGGGTGTTGTATATGGGAAATACAACCCCATATTTTGTATTTTGCATCTACAAAATATGGGGTTGTACTTGATGAGTCACAAGATCCCTTCTAGCTCAGATGTTTATAGTTTTATGGAAAGTTTGTAATTGCCCATGATGGCCCCATTCAAGAGACAAGCAACCTTGGGAGCAAAAATGGGTGCATGAGATTGGATGCTTTTGCTGTCCAAACTTGACAGCAAATGGATCTGGCTCTGTAGTTGAGGGCAGTGGGTGTGGCTTTAGGGATAGCCTTGACAATTTCTTTATTCATAAATAACTGGCGTGGAAGACAATCTGACAAGACATGGAGTTTGATCGAACATCTCTTGGCAAGGAATGAACTTTTGGCACCTAGTTAGAAGTGTCTTGGTTGGTCACATGAAGAAATTAGTAGTGAGCAGTCAAGAGAAACCATGACTCCTGTTTGGGCTGTCTGGACTAGGATTTTGTGTATTTGGGTTGCAGAAAAGTTTTATCTCCACCTCTTAGAATATAGATATTTTCCACTTGTTATGGAAATCAACAACTTCTTACCACAGATCTATACACCCAAAACAACAATGGAGACTTAAGTTCATTTTGTGATATTGTGTGAACTTTTTCCCATTCTATTCAGTTCTCATTCCACCCAAACCCATGTGCAAGTTTCCACATGGAAATTATAGGAGAAGGCATCTATTCCATCTAGACATTGATGAGGGATAAAAAGTTTAAAATGGGCAGAGTTTTTATGAAGCAGGAGCAGAAATGTGTGACCAAAGAATGTTTCCAGGTTGATTTTAGCTTCTTTAGACTGGGGAGATTATATAGATTTTCAAAACTTTCCCCTTCTTTAAGGCATCAAACAACTCTTGATATAATAATAGCCAACCTAAAAGGAGGTTGGCTTACAATGGAGATTTCTCCTTCCAGAAATTCTACACTCTTCCTATCCATCCTGCATCTTCTGTATGAAATGAGAAAGGCTCTCCTGCTAGAATATGAAATGAAGAAGACCTTGTGACTTTCAGCTGATTTTTCAAAGATGAACTGTTCAGCTTCATAGAAATTCATAGAAGTATGGCTGTATGTATGTGTGCACATGCATGTCAGACCCATTTGGGCAGTTTTAACAGCTTAATGCTAAATCCCAAGCCATGTCCTGTGGGTCTTATGTTGTCATTCTCAAAATTAGACAATTTCTGGTTTCTGAGTCATCTGGTCATATCTCTAGCAGTTTTTATTTTCTTGAAATTCTGAAAATGATTCAGATACGTGTACATATTTAATTCACTTAGATGATCTGTAGACTTGGATGGTATTTATTCTAAACGGAAGAAAACAATTTTATACTGAAAATCTATGTAATTTATAATGGTTTTGTTTTATATATTATATTTTCATATCTTTAGGGCACATCGACTATTCTCATCTTTTTGTATATCATACTTGGCAAAAGAAATACTAATACTTGACTAAAATCTCTAGGAACCAAATGTGATATATAACGTATAGAAATCGCTCTAAAAATATCTGAATGTTCTCACCCATCCCAAGCATATTGTGCTGTGTCATTACGTCCAGAATGATTTGTCTCAGATGCTTATGAGCATTCCTTTTTTCAAAACTAAGGCTAAAAGGCCTAACATCCCGCACAATGGATTCTGAATCTTCTTTCCTTCTGTATCTGTTTTATTGTTGGTTTCGTTTTAATTGTAGAAGTCTGTGTTGTCTAAACTTCCGTTTGAAGGGCAAACGTGAGATAAGAAAGCAACTTGATGGAAAGACTGAATTGAACTGTGACTATGTAAATTATTCAGTGGACTGATAACATGTTCTAATGCTTGGATTGTTATTTATTGGTGATCTAGCATCTGCTCAGCTCTTTAGCACAGGAAGAAAATATAAGGCACAAAGAATATTTGCATGTTTTGAACAGGCACACTCTAAAGGTAGTGCAGCCAACACAGATCAGCTTAGAAACACCAACCCCAGCCACTAGAGGAACCGTTTTAGAAGGCAGATCAGACACCTTTTATTCGCAGATTGAAATACAGTGTTGTATCAGTGTTAAAACTCGTAAACAGCAGCCCCTGTGGTTCTCTTAATGGGAGATTTCCTCTCAGTGTTTCATTTGGTAAGAAAATTGGGCGTTTAACTTATCTTTCAGATACTCTGTTTTTCTGTTTTATACCGAGCACAGTTCAATTACTATCCTGTACCTGTCTTTACATCCTGTACCCGTCTTCACATATCCTTTTGGCTGTCCCTTAAGATTATAATCCCTGTTTCTATTCTTGCTTTTTAAACTAATTTATGGGTACTCTTCAAATATCTACCAAATCTCATTCTATGTTCACGCACATATTTTGAGCACCCTGATAGCTTCAAGATATTGGTCATTTTTACATTCACCTCTTCATTTAAAAATCCTTCAGTAGATAACGAAGTTCATTTTCCTAATGACTTTTTTAGGGTTTCTACGGTGAGTAATCAGGTTCAGATTAAATGAATCAGTGGTGGGAAAAAAAAAATCAAACAAAACAGAATTGCTTATTATGTTTTCCAAAGGTCTGTTATACAAGAAAATATCGAGGGTGATAATGATCTTTAACTGAGATTTTTTTAGAGATTTCATTTTTAAGGGGACGAATACTTAAAATACCACAATCAAAATTGAAGCTCTTAGAAAATACAAAAATAGAAAGTGAACAATTCTAAGAATATTCTGGCATAAATTATTTTTATTTAACCAGTAATAAAAGACTTCAAATGTATCTCTCAGCCACCACAGAGCTGCTTACAGTGATTTAGGGTCAAAGAAGATTCTTGCACTTATGTTTGGTTTGCTGTATCTCTGGTTCTGGATGTCCTTTGTTAAAATCGGAAAATAAGATGAAAAAATTTATCTGGGCGGAAGTGTCAAACTGGTGATTTTGTGAACTATAAATGTTCACTTTTTACAAATAATTTAAAGATGTAAACAAATAGCTAATATTTAAGTTGATGTTATAGTAGCAAAAAACAAAAAACGTGATCCATCCTGTATTTTGATTATTGCTTTAATAAAGGGTTTGCGCAGGTATGCGGAATGTGTGTTGTGTCCCACCTGATGGGTGTGTGATTGTGGCCTGATTTACTCTTTCCAATGATGGGAAATCTGTAATCAATTCTTATCCCTACCTTTTTGCGTCTGCAGCGTATCTTGGGAAAAATGAAATAATTTCTATGTAAAACTACAAATTTTATCCAAATTCAGAAACCTTAACTCCATTCTGATAAACATTATAGCCATTTTTTATCTATATCAAGAAATAATTTTTAACAAGTAATATCAAGCTTACTGTAGATAATCCCAAAATACCAGGAAACTCACATACCTAGAACATTCCATTGGAGAAGACATGCATAATAAATCTACCACAAAACACCTAAACACCACCAAATCCAGGCCAAATCTAAGCACGTG